AACGTATAAGACCTATATGAGTACCACGTGGTGGTGCAGTGAAAAATCTTGACCAAATTTAAGAAAGATACACCAAATTAGCGTTGGTCATTATAAAAAAATAAACATTTAATTTGACAAATTAATTAAATATGAGCATCACTTCAACTTAAAATTTAACTCAATTTTAACTTAACTTAAGAATTCTCAATATTATTAATATAATTAAATAATATCACCAAATTATTTTTACACCCCACATCTACTCTAATTTACTATTCATTCAATTATATAATTTTAACTAATTATCACTTTATATCATCTATCTACTATTCTTAAATCAAATCAACTTTAATTATTTTATTTTAAATATTATTTAATATGAAATCAAAATTTCATTAACAATTAATCATATCATTTTATTTTCAAATTAATTTTGGTTACCAAAAAAATTGGTGGAAACTTTTTTTGTATCCAAGCAAGGTCTTTGTCTCTCAATTTCGTACAAAATCATTTGTCCGATTTTCATATATCAGGACATGCAACAACGATTGGGATTTGGGAGGAAGGAAGAAGAGAGAGACTGTTATGGCCTATCCACTGATATCCAACAAAAACCTTGTATCCCAATGTCATCTTCTTATCAGTGACCGACCAAAAACACTATTCCCCTTCAACTTATCTTCATCACCCAATTATGCTTCTTCTCATTTCAACCTCAACCTCAACTTCAGGGTTTCACGAGTTTCATCCGAAGGTATTTTTGCCCCCTTTTTTAATTGTCTGAATTTTATTTTTCAGGTTTGGCTATTACTATTATTTAGTTTTCGCTAATTATGAAAAGTCATTAGCATCACTTTTTGTAATAATTGTTTACCTTGGCTGCACAGAGTGTCCAAAAATAAATAGATGCAATTATTTGTTATGTGAAATCTGAAGTCCCATTATGTATGTATCAGGCTATCTAAAAAATGATTATGAAAATCGATTTGTTCAATGGATTTTTACTAGAGTGTGGGTGGATGATAGTAAAGGAAGATGTTGAGAAGAAAAAAAAAAACACAAAGTGGCTCTGTATGGTTGCTCATTGCTGTAAAACTTTGAAGATGGCTAACTATATTATGGATACTAGTCTGGAGTNTTGTTTATTAAAATGGTCGTGGAAGGACTGAACTGAATAGGCAAAAAAATATCTCATGAATTGTTTGATTAGCCCAACAGAACTTATCGTCCCCCAAATTTATTTATTTATAAGGGTGGCAAATGACTTAAATGCAATGGTTATTATCGTCCCGTAGCAATGAGTCAGCTAAATCAGATATTTGTTTCATTTCTTGTTATTGTATACCTCCAATGGTTTACTAGGTTTATCTTATGGTGGAGGGCTCTGAGTATTTGGTAAGTATTGACTTGTTTTTTCACTGAGAGAGCTGCAACATTATCTTAAGTTCTTTATGATGGAATCTGAGAGAGTAAATTAGGATCGGTCATGTTTTCTCTTGTGATTTTTAATTTCTGAGAATACGAGTCACTAGAAAGTATTTGCAATCACTTCATTAAAGCATGTAGAATAGTAGAGCGAGAAGGTTTTTACTTTGGAGTCTTGAATTTTCCACCTAAAAATATTTAAGAGTTTTTAAATCTTTCAAATTACTTTTTGAGATTTAAAGAACTTGCTTTTTTTGCTGCAATATTGTAGATATTCCAACTGGACTGACAGAGGATTCCAAGTTTGTTCCCTTGAATTCAGAAGATCAAAGTTATGGTCCGCCTGTAAGTTCTAGTTAGTTGGTAAATAGTTAATTCTCTACATTGTTGCTCGAGTTTACCTTTTCTGGTCAAAGCATATGACAGTAAATATTATCTCAAGTGCATATTTGCTTTTATATTAGAAAGAACTCAGATACTATTTTCACATATTTTTTGTGTTTTCAGGCTCTATTGTTGCTGGGTTTTCAACTCGAAGAGGCAGCAAAGGTCTGACTCAGATTTGTTAAATTCTATCACAACTTATAGTTTAAATTTTGTATGTATACTTAAGGCAGAGGTTTTTTCCTTACTATGTTATTGTTTTGTAATAGTATGCTGTTTTTGGATGCTTAACGTTTTTACCTTCTTACAGATACAACAGTTTCTGAAGGAGTTGGATGGAGAATTTCTCGAGGTAAAATATCAGCATTAATCTACCATTGTTGTTGATTTAGGGGTAAGCATATAAGCTAGCTCATAGCTTATTCGATTAGCTTATAAGCTTTCTGTATTCAAATAAGCTTGGTTTGGTAGACAAAGTTTTTTTAAAAAGCTCGAGCTTAACTCATAAGCTTCCTTTGATAGCTTTTCAAATAAACCCGCTAGCTTATCAACTAATTTTACCAAACACTTTTATCATACAAGCTAGCTTTTCTGCCATAAGTCTATCAACTATAACTTCGAAATTTACTTAAGAGCTATAAGTTAGATTATCAGCTATAAGATAGCTTCTCAGCTAGTTTTATCCAACATCCCCTTAGTGGTGCAATGAATAATATAAGATGTAGCGGTAACCAAACATCAAACATTTTATGTACTTACAGTTAACATTTGAAGTATACAAACTTCCATTGTTACTCAATTATTTGTAAAGGATATCTATCAATGAATTAAAGTATAATTTTACATGAAAAAAAAAACTTTTTAACAGTCTAAGGATTTTTGGTGCAGGTGATTTTTTGCACTGAGGACATGATCAACCGTTCACTCTGGGAAGCAGTGAATACCAAGCAATCGAATGTAGATGCATCAAAAGTTAGATACATAATTAATTAATTAATTTGTCAATAAATAATATTGTGGCCTTGCCTTGCGACAAATGCCAATAATGTGGTGGTCTAACATCTTTGCAGGTTGCAAAATCACTACCGAGAATTTGCTTCCTTTCAGGTCTTACTGGTGAGGAGATGATGATGTTGATCGACGCCTTCCCTGAAAGTGGTAATGAAATATTCACTTGTATTTCTGTAATATAAGAAAATAAAGTTATAAAAAAAATGATAGAATATGATATGTGTTGGGATAATCGTGTTTATATACTATTATTGTGCATAGGTCTGCAACCTGCCGTGTTTGCAGCCCTTGTACCAAATAGTGCTGACAAGCATTTAGCAGAGCTAATAGAGGAGATTATGGGGGACCATGAGATGCTAGTAAGTTTACTTTTTATATCTTTATAAAGTACCCTGAGATATGGCTTAATTGCTATCCTTTTTTTTTTATTATTTTATTTATTTATTTATTTTTATTTTAATATGCAAGNATATTCCACATGAGTGAATTTAAGTTTGGACAAATAAGTTTGATGTAATTTTGGTCACATGTTTGCATTGCTGCTGTTGAAGTTAACAAGTTGCTTAACATAATGCAGTCTGCAAAGCAAACAAGCTAGAGGGCATCGAAGCTGCAAGATTCATGGAAATTCGAGTAAGCTTTACTTTTATTTATTCGTTGTAATATCTATAAATATGTATCTAGATTGTCTAAATGAAGAAATGTAATTATATATATACTTCATAACTATTTGGTTATTTAATCAATTTTTTTGCAAACAAATACTAAATTAATAACTATTGATATTTCTGCATTTATATTTTCTTCAAAAATAGTTTTCTAAACAATTTTGGGCTCTTTCAATGGGACCCCTAGTCCTAGGATACTTCACGATATTTGAACTGCACGGAATGGGATTGCAATTAAATATATGTTGTTCTCGAACAATTTCCACATGATTAAGAGATTGCAATTAAATATAGGATTATCATTCTTCCAAAAACAATAATTTCCACTGCATTTTTATGTGTAGCATCATACTTTACTTTCAAGTATATGGTACATGGATAACTTGTTGATTCAACATCTTCTTGTTTTTTTGCTCCACCTCTTTAATGAGGCGACCCGAAGAAATGACCATCTAGTATGATTTGATTTTAATGTGAAGGTAATGCTTTATATATGTCATAGGTATACTTATATTTGAAATGATAAGAGAAATCAAATCGACGTCTGATTCAATGGATAGACTAATTTAGACTAATTTTGTTTTGAAATATTGTGTAGGCAATCATATACTCTGAAAAGTATATGTCAAAATAAGTAAATCTAATTTATAGAAATATATAGAATGACTTCGTTTAAATTCAATTTAAACACTTTTAATTGAATGTAAAATAAATCTTTGAACTGGTGATATTGTGTTAAAATAAATCTTCAATTTGGCTTCTATGTTTTTTTATCCATTTTTAATCACAGTATATGAATATATCCTCTCATGGAGAGAAACTACATTGCATCTGCCACCTCTTTGGGTAACATCTAAGTAAGTTCTTTCCAAAGTTTTACTTCATCTTATGTCACTAAGAACTGAAACATCATTTCGATATATAGTTTCTCATTGTACCTGATCGAAACACAAATTTTGAAAACACACAAGTCAAAATCATTACAACATGGAATTACCAACACATTTATGAACTGCAAATAACATGTGTACATAAACATAAAACACTCATTGTACACAATGCTGTACAAGTTTTCATACATTACGCCCACAGTAAAACATACATAAAAAGATTTTACAAATAAGACCGTAACATAAAAAAAAAAAGAAAAAAAAAAAGAAAGAAACACATGATCCCGATCAGTGGCTCCGCAGAGCAGTGGCCGACAGCACAACCAAGAAAATTAGGATAAGCGCAGCAATGAATGATGCCACCACAGCACCACTGACTCGCTGGCAGAAATTGTTAAATTGCTGGCAAATTGCAAGCCAGTTGGTGTTTGAATTCCCGTTGTGCGCCAAATAGACTATGGCTGCAGCTGCCGCTGCACCAGCAGTGGTGAAGGCCACCATCAACTACAACACATATTTTAGTCACATCATCCATAGTAAAAATAATAGTAAAAAAATAACGTCTTATTTAATAATTATTCATCCATAAATTAAAATCGGGTCTTACAGTGTCGAAGATGAGTAGGAGAAGCTTAAGAGCAGCTGCATGTGGACGGACAATTGCAACAATGGAGAAAGGCAAGGATAGGACTAAGTAGCCACTAGTAATGGCATTTGCCACGACAAAGAACCTAAAACCCGGCCGTAAGAAATTAATTGTACATTATATCATATCACGTTAAAATTAATATAAATGAGATAGAGAGAGAGAGAGATGGAAAAGATACGTAAAAGCCGGGAGGTCGTTGTAGCTAGCTTGGAATTGGGAGAACTGAGTGAAGAAAGGAAGCCTCTGATTGGTGGTTCCCATGGCAGCTGTGGCCCCTAAGGCAGCGGCAAGTGCGCAGACTCTCAAAATAAAGTCGAATATGGAGACCCCTCTCTGCCACCCACCGCCTCCCACCGAAGCCCCCACCTTTGCGGCACCGATGCTTTTGTGCTTGCCGGAGTTTGATTCCGGAATTTTGATGGATGTTTCTCCCCGGACGCTCTTTGAGGAATCCATATATATATAGATATATTGATATTTTAAATTTTTTGGTTCTTGGATTTGAGATGATAATAATTGAATGATATTGGAAAGGTTAATGTTGCAAAGTTTTATGATGAAATTTATAGGTGAGAAATTGATGTATTAGAGTCTGGATCATGGGGGAGGGGATTAGGTGATAGTACGAAGTTGGAAGAGTAGTTGATAGTTTTTTACTTGCTCCATCCATTTTGTACGAGGATTTCATTTTTTTTTTTCTTCTTTTCTTTTTGTGTGATGATCAACATGATTCTGTATATGAAACTATTATATTGTTATGTACCTCAAAGTTGTATAGCGAGAGAATGGAGATAATACTTCTTTTAACCACGTAGTTACCTCTAATATTTCACTAGTGCACTTTTTTTATGCTATGCAGCAAACTTACACAATGTGAATGTCGTGCATACAGAATGATGTCAAAATTGTGAATATGATGGCCTTGTTTCGTTCGCTAGCAAATTTTATTGGCGCACAACTGATAGCAGATTGTAGTAACTGATTTGACTAGTAGATTGTATTAGCGATTTATAAATAGTTGTTTGGTAAATAGCGGTTTGTAATGTCTTATGAAAATTTTATGTTGACAGATTATTTGATAGAGCCCCCATCCCAGTCTGGCTAGATTTACTAGCTCGGAACACTTGAGCTAGTCGAGTCTGACAAGTCGGGTCAATTAGCTCGACTTTGATAATAGGATTAACAGGCAGAGCCGTCTCCAGAAATTTGGAGGCCCTAGACAAGTTTGTTCTTTTCGAATTTCCCGAATTGAACTTGCGTGGTAATTAGGCTATTTACAGATAGAATTATAGAAGAAAAAACTTAATTAAACAAGACTATTAAATAAATAAATAAATAAATAATTGAAAAAAAATAATTTTTCTTGTTTTCCTAGAACTGGAGATTGATAAATTACCTATGAGTTATAAAGATCTTTAATAAATTACATTCAAGCAGTCATGCGAACAACAAGGAGAAGAAAATAAAATTCATATCAATGCAAAGAATATTTATTCTCACACAATTATTCTAACCGAACATCATACGAAAACAAATGCAATATTTAGGGCCTCAATTTTTCACACAAAGTACATATTTTGCCATTAGCCCATTCATTAATTAGTCTCTTCATTTATATAATGGGACAAGTCTCTATTTAGCCACGAGTCACTTCATACGTGCAAATAGGCTAAATTCATCACAAATACATAATATTTAAAAAAAAAAATGGGGCCCCAAATATATGGGGAGGCCTTAGGCATGGGCCTAAGCTGCCTCCCAAAGAGCCGGCCCTGTTAACAGGTTATGGCCAATACTGCAAGCTTGTAGTAAACACAAAGACAACTAGGTGAATTGATGAGCTTATATCAGAAGACCTGGACCCATAATGGGGAAGTACGAGAAATAAATGTTGGGTTCGACGAAGAACGTTGATTAGTTGTTCATTAATCGAGTCCTAAGAGATTAATCCTAAGCGCAGTGGTCTAAAGTTTAGGATCAAGATCTTACGGTTTAGATATGCAGGCTCAGAGATAGAGTAATATAGTAGCTTATACAATGATAAAAAATAAATAATAATTTTAATGACATGATTGGTTATTTTGCAGAGATATTCATGCATTGTTGGTAGAAATATAAAGATAATACAACCATGAAGTTTCACTCTATATTTGGCTAGAATATTCTTTAAGTGTTTGAATAAAGTAGACATTTTGTCAAATAAATTAAGATGAATTTTGCAATACAATTGAATCAACCCCCTAAATGAAAGAGATCTCTATTGCTAACATAAACAAATAAAAGAACTAATGCATGTATAATATTGATTATTTAGTTATTTAGTGTTTTTGTGTGTTTTTGTTGAGGTTGTAATATGTTATTTAATTCTTTTTATGTTAGGACATCGTTAAGTTATTTTGGAAAAAACAATTTATTTTACATTTTATTTCATTCTTGCAATGATATATTTAATAAATAATTTATTTATTTTACAAAACCTAATCGGCAAAAAACAATTACATTATGCACTCATTTGTTCTATGTTTTATTTGATTCTTGCAATGATATTTTTAATAAATTAATTAATTTATTTTACTAAACTTAATTGGCAAAAACATTCACCACCACGTGCGATTTTTACTAGTTAAATAAAAAGTGTACATCAGCATCTCGGTGACATTTACAGATTTTAGGCAATCAAATGACCAAAATTCTAATTGTTGACTAAAATAAAAAGTGAACATTTTGCGGAACCAAATTCAAAATGAGGGTCGGATAAGTGAAGAGAAAAAAAACTCTTTTTACCATATATTGACGTTCATTACACACAAGATTTCTGAGTACATTTTATTTGTTGCACGGAATTACGGCATAATGAAACATCACCAAATTTGAAACCCAGAAGAATGCTAATTATTATTTCTTAAATGTAAATTCATAATACACCATCACAAATTTTGACAAGTATTAACTAAACTATCTAGGAAATTGAGTTTTCCAAGCATCTGAAATCCCTGAAGGTAGAGTTGATCTCCATGAATCAATATCTGGTTTTTTTGATAAAGCTACTGCGTAAGCCATGAATCTGGATAGGTCCGATATCCTTTATTAGCTGAAGGCGGATGAGGTAACTCGTCGATATTATACCGCACATTTGTGGTGATTAGTAGAAATGTAAATTTTATTTGAAATAAGCAAAAACATGTGGTGCATTTGATTTACTTATTTATTATTGATGATATGTAGTAACAAAAGATGTAAAGTATGGAACTTGATGACTGTTTAATATTTATTAGGAATGAGTAGCTAGCTTGATTGATCAATCCTCGTCCCCAGATCTAGGTGGTGGTGGTGGTGACCGTGGGGGTGGCGGTGGGCGAGAACGCGGTGGCGGTGGCGGGGGAGATGGAGATGGAGGTGGTGGTGGAGAAACATCGCATCTAACAGAATTGAATCTATAATCAAATTATACTCAAAGACAACCTAGAGTCGACAACACGTCTTCGTAAAAAATTAAATGAAATTACCAAACTCCCACATAAAAACTAAAATAGTCCTAAGACTTTTCCGTAATGGAGACTAAGCAATACAAAATAACAATAAATACAGAAAACACAATAAAAGAAAAAGAGCACAATAAAATACATTGAAGCCTTCCATCTCCTCTACAAGAAATTTTATATTTTGTGATGGTTATCTTTGACACGAATTAATTTTTTTCATAATATTTTTTACTAATAACAATGAATTTTATTCTTGTCTAAAAAAAAACTTTATTTGTGTCAACATTAATTTTTTCCATTAAAATCACAATTTTATGACAATTTTGTGTTTGACAAATAATAATTTGTTGCAATTTGGTATGCAATAACAACAATTTTTGTTTCATCAATTAAAAATAATTTATTTATGACATCATTTTTTGTTTCATCAATTTTAGTATAGCGAGAGAATGGAGATAATACTTCTTGTAACCACGTAGTTACCTCTAATATTTCACTAGTGCACTTTTTTTATGCTATGCAGCAAACTTACACAATGTGAATGTCGTGCATACAGAATGATGTCAAAATTGTGAATATGATGGCCTTGTTTCGTTCGCTAGCAAATTTTATTGGCGCACAACTGATAGCAGATTGTAGTAACGGACTTGACTAGTAGATTGTATTAGCGATTTATAAATAGTTGTTTGGTAAATAACGGTTTGTAATGTCTTATGAGAATTTTATGTTGACAGATTATTTGATAGAGCCCCCATCCCAGTCTCGCTAGATTTACTAGCTCAGAACACTTGAGTTAGTCGAGTCTGACAACTCGGGTCAATTAGCTCGACTTTGATAATAGGATTAACAGGCAGGGCCGTCTCCAGAAATTTGGAGGCCCTAGACAAGTTTGTTATTTTCGAATTTTCCGAATTGAACTTGCGTGGTAATTAGACTATTTGCAGATAGAATTATAAAAGAAAAAAACTTAATTAAACAAGACTGTTAAATAAATAAATAAATAAATAATTGAAAAAAAATAATTTTTCTTGTTTTCCTAGAACTGGAGATTGATAAATTACCTATGAGTTATAAAGATCTTTAATAAATTACATTCAAGCAGTCATGCGAACAACAAGGAGAAGAAAATAAAAATCATATCAATGTAAAGAATATTTTTTCTCACACAATTATTCTAATCGAACATCATATGAAAATAAATGCAATATTTAGGGCCTCAATTTTTCACACAAAGTACATATTTTGCCATTAGCCCATTCATTAATTAGTCTCTTCATTTATATAATGGGACAAGTCTCTATTTAGCCACGAGTCACTTCATATGTGCAAATAGGCCAAATTCATCACAAATACATAATATTTAAAAAAAAATGGGGCCCCAAATATATGGGGAGGCTTTAGGCATGGGCCTAAGCTGCCTCCCAAAGAGCCGGCCCTGTTAACAGGTTATGGCCAATACTGCAAGCTTGTAGTAGACACAAAGACAACTAGGTGAATTGATGAGCTTATATCAGAAGACTGGACCCATAATGGGGAAGTACGAGAAATAAATGTTGGGTTCGACGAAGAACGTTGATTAGTTGTTCGTTAATCGAGTCCTAAGAGATTAATCCTAAGCGCAGTGGTCTAAAGTTTAGGATCAAGATCTTACTGTTTAGATATGCAGGCTCAGAGATGAATACACAGTCTACGGAAGCGGACGAACGATTCTACTCCTCTACCTTGAAGTCTTCTGCTGTATTCCTTCACCGTAGTTGGGCGTGACATGGGCAACAATCTCTCGAACGATGTGGCCGACTCTTCCTCTCTTTGTTGCACTCGTCGAATCTCACGTCTCTCTCTCTATGGGTGGTGTGATTTTCAGGTGTGTTGCAAGAGAATGAGACCCTCAGATGGTTTACTTATAGGCTACAATAGATACCTTAAGCATGTTAGGATTAGATCTCCTAATAGGAAGATGAATACTTGGATTATGGTTCACTCTATCCCTAATCTTAATAATAATAAATCAATCCACTAATGATTTACTATTGCACTACCTTTTCCAAACCCAAATTACTCGGGCTCCACTATCCTCAACTTATCTCTCCATATTTAAGATATTGAATGTGTTGCCAGTATTTTTCGTCAGCTTTACCCCCGGTAGGTTTTTTTTGCCTTGCCGGGGTGCCGGCTCCCGGTGAGCCATTTACCATGCACCGGGGACTCACGGTCTTCCACAATGCTCCTGCCCTAGGGTGAAACCCATCTTGACTTGCCATGAACTCCACCTTATGCTCAGGGTGCAGGGTTCGAGTCTGGGAAAGGACAAAACCCATAGAATGCCCCAAGATGGGTTTTCACCCTAGGGCAGGAGCACTGTGGAAGACCGTGAGTCCCCAGTGCATGGTCAATGGCTCACCGAGGGACGGCACCCCGGTAAGACGAAAAAACCTACAGGGGTAAGGCTAGCGGTTATAACCATCAGCAGAATGTTCGTAAATAATTTAATTACTGATAATTTAATTAATTAAATTCTCAGTTTTCAGAAACTAGTACCACTCAATCTTATTATTATGCCGGATTTCAATTCGCCTGCATAACTTGACATGATAATCCTTTTGATGGGACGTCATCAACCCGACAGACCAGGACGCAGTGACCGTAAACAATTTCTACGCACATTCTACACTCAACAATATTTACCAATGTACAGAGTCTGTTGACCTACTAAAATAGGTCTCACTTGTGGTAAATAAAAAAAAAGTACTGAATGCATATGTCAATTTTTATTGTCTTATGGGTAAGAGAACGCAGAAATTACTAAGGTCTAGATTATTTACTAGGTCAATATAAAATAATCTTATCCTCTGTAGGTCCGTTCAATACATTCGAGATGTACTAGTGTAATTCATTAGTCAAAGACCAACTAATTCAAAATCACACTAGAGCCTTTCATGACAGTTAGTTTAATTCGGTCTAGGTTGTGAACAAATATTTATATTTCACAATGAAGCGATAATATGATCTTTCTGTTGGACACATCAAACCATATTATCTACAATGTAAAATAAAGGAACTACGTTGGCATAAATAAATAAAATGCGAATATATAACCAAAAATATGAATCTCATTCAAAATGGAATTAAGAGTAATACAAAATTGAGCTTTTACAATGTATTCCAACATTAAAAGCAAGTAAATTCTTGAAGTCCAATCTCATTAATAGGATTATAGAGCCTTATAATAGTGTCTACCCAATCGTTAGAGTTTTAGATATACAAAGATGTAACTTTCTATCTATTCCACGTTCAAGCGCAACGGAGCCGTTCCGGAGTTCCAAAGCCGGGCCGTGTTTTTGTTTGCCTTGAAGACGCCCTAGTCCTAATATATTCATTCTTTTAAATAGAAAATATAATATGTCTTTGTATTGAATGGATTTTACTATTATTATTATTTTGATATATCATACGTAAATTAAATTTTCTATATAGACAGTCAAAACTTGTATTGACAATCAAAGCTTGCAGTGAATGAATTTTACTATAACCGAGATCTATATTGAATGAAGTTTACTATAACCGAGATCTATATTTTAAACAGTATAGGTTTATGAAAACTAGTATTCGACCTGTGTATTTGCACATATATAAATAAATTATTGTGAGTCTGTATGCATATAATGATTAATTATTTTTCTTTCAATTTTTTGCAGACCAAATTTACAATTAAAAGAGTTGGAATATTTTTTTTTTAAATTACGTTTATCTGATTGGATGTAATTTATATTTTGGTACGTCTTTTATTTGTGAATTATTTATTATTTATTTAAGAATTTTAAATATATTTTTTATTTTCAAAAAAAAATTAAATGTAACAACAATAATAACATCTAATCACATTATACGGTCAACACATTATATGGTCAATTGTTATTAGTCAAAAGTTTAAAATGATTTTTGTAATTTTGAAGTGATGAGTATTAATTATTTAATGATTAAATGAAAGATTAAATACATCAAAATGTAACGGTTTTTAGAGGGAAAATTGTTAAATTGCTACATAGGTAAAATTAAATAGGTTTTATTAAATGCTATTAGCTAGTAATTATATATATATAGATTTGACATTTATTTTTCAATAGTTGATTCAAAATTCTAATTTTATTACAGAAAAGGGACAAAATGTGAAAAGATATGATTTTAGGAAATCAAATCTCAAATAACTGTTAGATAGAGGACACAAATACTTTTTTATATTCTTATTTATTAAAAAAATAAAGAAAAATTAAATAAAAAGTGTACATCAGCATCTCGGTGACATTACAGATTTTAGGCAATCAAATGACCAAAATTCTAGTTGTTGACTAAAATAAAGAGTGAACATTTTGCGGAACCAAATTCAAAATGAGGGTCGGATAAGGGGAGGAAGAAGAAGAAAAAAAAAAAAAAAACTCTTTTTACCATATATTGACGTTCATTACACACAAGATTTCTGAGTACATTCTATTTGTTGCACGGAATTACAGGCATAATGAAACATCACCAAATTTGAAACCCAGAAGAATGCTAATTATTATTTCTTAAATGTAAATTCATAATACACCATCACAAATTTTGACAAGTATTAACTAAACTATCTAGGAAATTGAGTTTTCCAAGCATCTGAAATCCCTGAAGGTAGAGTTGATCTCCATGAATCAATATCTGGTTTTTTTGATAAAGCTACTGCGTAAGCCATGAATCTGGATAGGTCCGATATCCTTTATTAGCTGAAGGCGGATGAGGTAACTCGTCGATATTATACCGCACATTTGTGGTGATTAGTAGAAATGTAAATTTTATTTGAAATAAGCAAAAACATGTGGTGCATTTGATTTACTTATTTATTATTGATGATATGTAGTAACAAAAGATGTAAAGTATGGAACTTGATGACTGTTTAATATTTATTAGGAATGA